CGGGACGGGACGCGCGAGCCCACCTGGCGCCGCGGCCTGACGCTGCCCACTCTGCCCGCAGGGAGCGTGCCCAGCGAGAAGATCGCCATCTGGCTCAAGGACTGCCGGTGAGTCCCGGGCGCGCCTCGCTCGCAGGTCGGCGGGCGGCAGGGGGCTCCGGACCGGAAAGTGCGCGGCGAGAGCTTCCTCCTTTCCGCGAGGGCTGCGGCGGCGAGCGGAGCAGCGAGCGGGGACCGTCGACTCTGCGCTTGGGGGCCTTGGGCTGCGCTGCCCGGGCTGGCGCTCGCGGCGCTGCTGGCCTTGTCCGTGCAGTGAAGAATTCTCACCGTGGGATGTTTTACTTTTGTTCTGGCATCTGTACCTGGCGCGGAATCCTTTTCCTTTCCGATGTGCTTCAGAAGGGTTTAATTTACACTCATTGGACTCGAATTTTATGTGTATGCGCTCGTTCTGTTGAGAGCTATTGAAACTGGCTAACTTAGTACGTGTAGTTTACTTCTTGGATATTGGTTGGTTGGATGGCACTGAAATTCACAGAAGGAAATAGAGCTTTGAAGGCAGTCAGACGGCGTAAATCTGTTTAATTGCGTGCTTTGGCAACTGCTGCAGAAGTGTTTGATAAAGGACAGAGAGGTGAATCATATTGCAAGTAAATCTGACTATTGTAAGATCTGCTTGTGTCATTTGTATTTGCTTCCAGTTTAACTGCAAGTTATAAAACCTTACAGGAAGAATGCAGTTTTTAAACTTTGCTTGGCTCTTCTGAGCCTATTTTGCTTTCTCACTTAGGTGTATCGTAATGTTGTGTTCAAATAGTAGAACTAGGGAAGATACTTGTTACAAAGTAATTCTTACATACACCAATGTATTTTTTTTTCTCCAAAAGATAAACACAGCACCGTATTGGCCATTACTATATAATGTCCAATTTTGATAAATTGGAGCCTTACAGAACGTCTTCTGTACAGAATTATGTAAAGTTTAGCGGGGGTGTCAGAGACCCTCCTGAGATGTCCAGAGGTACGTGGACCTTCTCTGTAAAGATGCACAAAGGCAGGTGTGCAGCGGGAACCCCTGCTGCTCTGGCTCCATGAGCCCTGGATTTCCAAATTAGAAGACTGTGGCCTAGATGTTAGGTGGCTCCACTCAGAGAATGGATTCAGAGGTAAGGTGTTCCACTGGTTCATGTAATTGTGAAATATCAGCGTAGTGTAAAAGCTGAAAGCATCAAGTTATAAATAAGCACTTTGAGGCTGTTTAGGAAAGGTGTTGTGAAATCAGTGTACAGTAGATTTCCTTTTAGAAAAATATCTGAAGAGGAATGCTTTGTTTACTTATTCTCAGGTCTTTTAAAACCTTCATTCTAAGAATTGATTTAAGTACAGAAAGTCCTAAGTAGTGTATTGTCGTATTCCTGGTATCTTAAAATAGGTTTTCCATTCAAAATAAGCTTGAAGCATTTTATTGTTTAAGGCAAGCATTTATTCAAACTATTTTTTTAAAATAGAGAAAAATCATATTTTATGATGCGTAAGAATTCAGATTGTGGAAGAGATCGTATCAGGAGGAGATTAAGTTAAGTACATCTTTTCAGAAGTGCAATAGGAATGCCAGCATCCAGCAGGACAACAGTTGTCCCTGAAAATTCCAGAAGCTTTGTTGCTAAACTTGATTTATGTGGGTGGGTTCTGTAACCCAGGGCTCCCAGTCTCATAGGCTTTTTTCTTGTTCTGCAGTTGTACCTGTTTTATACAAAAGTAGTTTTCATTTTTGCACAAAACACTAGAACAGGCGGTCTTCTGCTGTTGGCTAGATTATCGTAGATTTCACTGCTGTAATATGAGGCACTTTTTTTTTTAACTCTTTTATATAGCAGTGTACAGTCCTTCCCAGAGTGGGACATCCGCGTATGTTGTACATTAGTGCAAATGACCTGAAGACAGCTTTTTTCCCTTTGATAAATTCTCAGATCTTGTTTCTCATTGCTGCCCATATCCTGAATAGTGAATAGGGACACTACATTTCTTCCCTTAGAGGGAATCTTTATTTTAATAACTATTTCTTTTTCAGCTAGATGGAAATAAGTTGCATGAATTAGTTTTGGAGGGGGGGTTGATAGAATTTGGAGGAGAGTAACTATAAAGGTGAAGACTTTTTTCCGAGCGAGAGTACTAGCTCTATTTTGCTTGTATGCCGTTTTCAGATAATACACTGTCTGGACGGAGTGATGTTTTGGCCTAGGAGAGGAACCGCTAGGGAAACAAAGTTTTCAGTTATACAAGGGAGTTAATAGAATTTTATTGAAATATTTGCAGAAAACTTACATTACAGCTTTTATTAGTATCTGCATAGTAATTGCTTGTGATTCATGTACATTTCAGAAATACTGATTTTCACAAAACTGCTCTCAGAAACTTTCAACTTTTAAATGTCATTTCAGTTAGCATTTCTTTGGTATTTTTGTGATTGAACTCATGTTGGATGTGAATTTTTGACAGGTGTAAATAGTGATAAAAGATTTGTACTACAGAGCAGAAATTTTGAAATAGAACTTTTTTTTTCTAGTTTTCAAAATGTAACTGTTTCTATAACTTGGTTTTAGGAAAAGCAAAAGTGTATTTATATTTGAGAAAAGAAATTTGAGATACTTGTGTTTGAATGACAAAAATGTGGAAAAAATTTCAACAAAGGCAGATTCTTAATGTTAATTCTCAAACCAATGTTTTGGTGTGATTCAAATCCAGATGAAGAAGATACGTGTTTTCTAGTTTGAAAGCAGAAAGTGAATTGGAAGCTGTAGAGCCCTTAGACCTTGAGGTGCAGGAGGGTTTGGCCGGCACCCAGAAGTGGGAGTGGCGAGGGTAGGGAAGCTGAGCCTCATTTCTGGTTAGACTGAACTACCTGCTGCTGAAAGTTTGCTTTCTTCTCTTCCTGTTTTCTGTCAGTATGGAGTAGATTGCGAGGGAAGATACTTTCATGCTGCTTATTGTCATTCTTTGTTCTGTTTTGTTTTTGCAAAGAAAATGCCCATTAATATCACTTGTGTTTGGCATTTTTACACTTACCTGCTAGTAGATCAGACGTGTGTGTGATTAAGTCTTTCTCGGTGAAGTGACTTGGTGGTAGGTGTTTGCTTAGTTAGTGGGATATCACTTACGTAATCCACTCACATTCCTTGTGTGTTTTGGGAGGAGAGTGAATTGATTAGACGCGTGCATAACTGTAGGTCCTTGGGCTGTTGGTCACAGTTCCCAGATGGCTTCCACATGACTGAGGCTTCTGTGTTCTGTGGTTTCAGTACACCTTTGGGAGCCTCGCTGGATGAGCAGAGCGGCACTACACTGAAGGGTAAGAGGGGGTGGACATTCCAGATCTCTGTGAGGGTCCTCTTTCATTGTCTTCCAGGTGAAAGTGTATATATGAATTATACAAGTGAGGTTCATGTGTATAAGATACGCAATTCTGAGCTACATGCCTGAAGGGAGAGAAACCTCACCATAAGCCATAAAACAGGGTGAATTTAAGCAAATTGCCAAACTTTGCCATACTGTAAATTCTACCTTTTTATTGCCCAGTTAAATATTACAGAGACTAATTAAATAGAGATATGTGATCGGTTTAAAGACAGTATATATTGCGTGAACTAGGTCAACTAGTGCAGCATTTCCTTGCTTACTTTAACTGAAATCGCCACACCTGAAATTTTACCACCCTATGTAAGATAGAATTCTGAGGTTCAGAGTACAGCAAGAATGTGCAGGTAGTGGCAAGGCACATAAAAAGCATTTAGAACATCAGGAAGACCTAGCTTGAGTGCCTGGTTTAATGTGAAGGGGGAGAGAGATGATTGCTCCAGGTTTGGATTTTCCATGAAACTCTGGGCTATGTGTTACTTAGTCCGACATCTTTCAGAGGCAGATAAATAGACAGTAGCCTGTAGACCTGGCTTCTCAGTACTTTACCTGGCCATAAGCATGATTTCTTAATGATATAGTGAAATCTTACAGCTGCTTCTTGAAATTATGTAATTATAATTTCCCAGTAACTTCAGGTCCACAATATTTTCTTGTATTGTAAGTTATTTTGCTTGCTCAGTTTGTTGGAATCAAAACAATGATTTCATGTGGAGGTGGGGAGGAGCATGACGCTAAGGCAGAATTTTCTGAATTTTTGTGTTTCTTTTAGGCGTGCTTGTGAGAAATGGAGGAAGTTTTGAAGATGATCTGTCATTGGGAGCTGAAGGTATGTCTTGCTTGGAAGAATTGTGTCTTCATGTAGCTTTACATTCTTTTTTAAAAAATGGAAAAATTGAGTACATTGAGGTTTGTGATCTTAAGAGTTAAATTTAAAGATTTGAAAATGGCTCACGTTTCACAGTACTTTCCTTTTATAGTATATGTTAATAACGTAGTCTGGCCTCCACACTACCGAGGGGTGGCTTTAAACACCACTGCGAAATGTCTTTATCTGTGACTTTCCTGGACTTGAATGCTGGAGAGAACTGTTTGTGGCAGACTGGTGATCTGAGGGACAGGAGAGCGCTCCAGAAGAAGGAAGGAAGCTTAAATATTTATATAGAAGAAAACTAAAGTGAAGCTTATTTTTAGTGTGCTCTTATGTCGTATTTTCAGCTGTAGCTTGTCTTTCTCTTTGCATTCAAATGTCTTCTTTTTGCTGGTTTTTAGAAGGGTAAAAGACAAAGATAAAATAATAGTAAATGTCGAAGATGTTATGTGGGGACTGTGCCATCCTGCATTAGCATTTTTAAAGTGTACACTTTTTAATTTTCCTCAGGTTATATTTTCCTGTAGGATCATAATAAAACTTCCCACTGTGTAAAATTAAGACTTTATTATTTCACTGATATTTTGAAAGATATTTTATAGTTCATTTGTGTTTTCTTTCAAGTTTAATGGGTTATTGGTGGCTCTTGGGCTTGTTATTAATCTGTGCTTTATTTAAAAATGAAGCATTTGTTAAATGTTTAAAAATTGTGAACTGAATTTGTACACTTAATTTAGTACTGAATTTATACATTTCTTAGTACCCTCGTTTATTTTCTGTTTGCAAGCCATTTGCAAGGTTAAGTCAGTTTTTCAGTACCTTCTATCACTGAACAGTCCAGAATATGTGATTTCTTGTCAGTATATTTCAAGGAATAGATTGTGTTAGGAGCAGCTGCTTCCTGCTTCCCAGTCAGGACGCTGGTACACACTGTCAGCCCCTTTCTGAAATGCATTTCAGCATTACTTGAAGTCTCACTTTTGAGATCTGCCTTAGTAGTTTCATGATGTTGAATGATTTTATTGAAAACCAGAAACTAATAGAGAGTCCCATTAAAGACTAAAGCAGTTATGTTGTTTTACTGAAAATTATTTCAAGGCTTTTTTCATACTTGAGTAAATATTTAAGGAATGCTGTGTTAGGCACCATAGAAGGCTGTACAAAGAAACAAAAAGATGTCATGATCTTGCAGATCAGAAATGAAAAACTGTGCTGAGATAGTTACATTTGTAATTAATCTTACTTTTTGTGTTTGTCTATGAAGTTTGAAAGTAGTAAATTTAACTCTCAACATAACATTTTCTTGTTTCAACTTTGTTGATCTAGGATAAAGTTTAAAGGCAATTTTTAAAGGAAAGTATACTTTGAAATGAGTAGAAGTTTTCAAGTTACATACATGAAAAATAGGTTGTAACATCAGAAGTAGGTGAATACTATTGCAACATTAAATAATGCTTTCTTGCTCTTAGGATATTTCTCATAAACAGGTTTTAAATATAAATTAATATATATGTCACATATATGCTGCTTTTCTTGATACTTTCTTCTAACCTGCTAAATTTAATTAGCTAACTACAGTTCTTTTTAAGTCTTCAAGTGGAAGTGGCTTTATGTCACCAAAAATTAAAATAGCTTCTAAAAGCTACTGGTACTATTCTTATTGATCTGTATTAATCATGTGAATTTAATGAGCCAAGAGAATACTTTGAAATATTAGGCAGTTAGCTGTACTATAATGGGTAACTTGTGTTGTTGGTAGTTGTGTCATTTTAGTTACTGTCCTTCTAATAACTATGCTCTACATTTATTTTTACCTATAGCTAATCACCTCCATGAAAGTAATGCTCAGACTGAAAGCCGGTATGTAATTATTTTGTTCTCTTTTTTAAAAACTTAACACTAAGTGAAAAGAAAGCTTTATTTTATTCTTTTTTTTTTTTTTTTTAAGCAATACTATCTTGGCCAAAGAGAGAAGACTCCAGTTTCATCAGAAAGGAAGAAGTATGAATTCCACTGGCTCTGGGAAAAGTAGTGGCACAGTCTCAAGGTAACTTGTTCTAAAGTTATGGTGGGATGACGTGGTATGCTGACATGCTTGTCACATTTTTAGTCTTAGATTTGACTTTGTTAGTGTGAAATCAAAGGAATCTGAAGTGTTTTCTGGGTAGGTATAACTGACGGGAGCTTCTTTAACAAAAATGTTAACTAAAAAGCAATAAGTATATTTATAATGCTGCTAGAATCCATTAATGAGTATTTGGAGTCAATTAGAGAAACTTCATACTAGAGTAACTTCTAATTATTGGGAATTAAAATCTCTTCTGTTACGGATTCAAGTTATCTTTCACATAAAAATTAGATAAACTTTTCTAATGGACAGTGATGTTTAAGATAACTTTTAACACATTAAACAAAAGATCTTTAAAATACACATTAAGGTAAACCAATATATGCGTCTGTGGGGCCAGTTAAACTGTTAAGCAATTACTTTTATTTATTTATCTTTTTTATGTATTTAGTGCAGGGTGTACAGAGTCTCACTACACAGATCAGACTTGTAGTGATCCTTCTGTTTTCAGCCTCCCACATGCTGGGATTACAGGTGTGCGCCACCATGCCCAGTCTCAATTGCAGTCTCAGTGTGCCCCCAGGGTGGGGCTGGCATGGTAGGCCGGAATCCCCAGCCCCTGGAGTAGGTGCTTTAATCTCCTGAGCTATCTGGCTGGCCCCTGTTATGCAGTTATTGTACCACAATCTGAGCCTTTATCTGAAAAGACTGAAGCGTCCTGTTCAGATCCCACCTAACTTTCCCACTCACTGAGCTTTAGAAAACCTGGATTATCATTGGTGTGAGAGGGAAGGAACAGGGTATGTTTAATTCCTAAAGGAATTAGGGCAGTAAGTTACCTGTATCTTTCCTGACGTCACTCCTTCCTAAGTGGGAGTGGTGAGCTGAAAGTTGGCTCCTCCTGTCCTTCCTGAGAGGAAGGTAACTTCATTGCTCCCCTGAGGTGAAGATAGCAAGAAAGCTCAAGCTCTGCACTTGCTCTTCAGTAACAAAGTTTACAGACTTCCTTGTACATTTTTCCTCTTCATTTCTTTTTCTTTTTTCTTTTTTTTTTGGCAGAACCGGGGATTGAACTCAGGCCCTTGCTCTTGCCAGGGAAGCACTTATTCCACTGAGCCATCTCCCTGGTTCCCCTTCATTTCTTTAATCTGCTTTTTTCTTATTCTGCTTCATCTGTCCTTCAGTTATTTTTATTGCTTTACCGGGAAACTCTTAAAATGAGAAAAAAAATAAGGTGAGGAACTTCTTAGTGTGTTCTTTAGGCTCAGTGCTTTTCCAACACAGGCAGCCTCAAAGAGTGGACCCCTGCTAATGGGTTTGTCTTCCATTGGTCCATGATATAGAAGATGTTGAAATGAATACTAGCTTAAAGAACAAAAGCTGAGACGATTTTATCATAGGAAAGCAAGAACATGTTTAGTTTATAATGTGGTTTCAACTCTAAATTTGCTGCATATCTTACTGCATCTTATGTTCTGTTTTGTAGTGTTTCAGAATTGTTGGAACTTTATGAAGAAGATCCTGAAGAAATTCTTTATAATCTTGGATTTGGACGAGACGAACCTGATATTGCTTCTAAAATTCCTTCCAGATTTTTTAATTCATCATCATTTGCCAGAGGAATAGATATTAAAGTATTTTTGAGTGCTCAAATGCAACGGATGGAAGTAGAGAACCCAAATTATGCTTTAACAAGTAAGCTTTTTAATCATGAGCATGTTTTTTTTAAACCATTACCATTTACAGTAAGATGGTTCCATTACTAAAGCCTTATTGATGTTAGCAATAGCACTGGAAAGTTAATGATGTTAATTAACACAGTAGCTATGTTACTCATTCTAAATTTTTATTCTATTTAAATAGATTAACATATTATTCTCCTTCTCCCCAAATAGTGATTCTTTTCAATGTTTTCGTAACTTGGGAGGCCTTGTAATTATCTCCACATTGCATTTATTCAAGAAGGAAAAAGTGGGAGTAGAGTCTTGATAATATTACAAGAAGTCAGTTCATTTTCGGTGTTTTACTAGAAATCCAAAAGAGCATGGCCAGTTTTACCATTTTTACTGATAATTATATCTTTAAAATAGTATTTTTTTCCTTGTTCGTGGATTCTTTTTAAGAGCTCTGTAAATTCCTTCAGTATGTAAAGGACTTTTGTACATTTTTTTTTTTGTGGATTTTCTTTTTTTTTTTTTTTTTTTTTTTTAGGGAAGAGTCTGCAGGGTGGGCAGGGTCTTACTGCTAGATCAGACTCATAGTGATCTGCCTGTTTACAGCCTCCCGAGAGCTGGGCTTGTGCCCCCACACCCAGTCTCAATTGCCTGCTCAGCGCACCCCAGGGGTGGGGCCGGCTTGGCAGGCCACAGGGCACTTTAATCCTCTGAGCTATTTGGCCGGCCCTTGTGTGTGTAGTTTTGAAACAGGGTGTTGATATGTAGCCCAGGGTCACCTCAATCTCACTTTGTAGCCAACAGTGACTTTGAACTGAGTGAGCCTCATCCTACCTCTGCTTCCCAACTGCTGGGATTACAGGCCTGTGCCACCACACCTGACTTGTGCATTTCTCTCAGTAAAACATTTGGAAGAGACTTAGTAGAGTTCAGCACCTAAGCACAAATTACAGCCGTCCTGCAGCAGCTAGTTCTGTTTTATTCAGTATTGTCTTCATGCTCTTTATCTTTTTTTTTTTTTTTTGGTAAATACTAGGTTTTTACAGTAAAAATCTTCCTCATCTCTGCTTACTATGTTTTATAGTACTTGTGATCTTGGTAGGATTCTGAACAGTATAGATTTACTAGGTATGTATTTATAAACATAAGTATATATACATTTATGTTTATGTAATTGGTTTCTTTTATTTTTTTGTATAGGTCGTTTTCGTCAAATTGAAGTGCTTACTACTGTGGCCAATGCGTTTTCATCTTTGTACTCCCAAGTCTCGGGGACTCCTCTTCAGAGAATTGGCAGTATGTCTTCAGTGGCCTCTACCAAGGAGACAGATGCGCCTCCACCCTTAACACGAAGTAACACTGCAAATCGCTTAATAAAAACACTATCGAAACTAAACTTATGTGTAGATAAAGCAGAGAAAGGGGAGGGTAGTAGTCCTTCCCCTGGAATTGAAAAAGGAAAGATTTTTAGTGTTTCACTAATTGAAGAAAGTGGCAATAAAAATGACCAGAAGTCTCAAAAAGTTGTAAAGAAGAAGGACTCATCTTCTATGTTGGCTACAGTTAAAGAAGAAGTCTCAGGTGGTTCAGTACCTGCTAAGGAGAGTGCTGACCCTGGCAGGCTTTCTGATGAAGCGAATAGTAATTTTAACGAAGAAACTGATAGTGAGCGAAGTAAGGAAACTGAGAATCATGGGCATAATCTGCATGAGGAATCGAACGTCGTAGAACCTGATGTAGGCAGTGACTTCAGTGCATCCAGCCTCGGTGAGCTGCAAGATGGCAGTGATCTGAAGCATGCCCAGATGTCCACACCTGAAAAAGAACCTTGTGCATCACTGGCCATCCCCTCCATTAGGAATATAATGACCCAACAGAAGGACTCCTTTGAAATGGAAGAGGTAGGTACAACTTTACTGAGACCAGGTTTAAATCATGAGCTAGGGAAAAACTGCTGAAAGTGTTTATGAAATGAGAGGTAGCTATTAGGTTTGCACTAGAGGAGTGCATCCCAGTGTTGACAGCCTGGGTTTATGTTTCACAAACCAAGAGTGCTCCCAGAGCTGTGTGCTGCATTGAGGCAACCGGAGAGCACATGGCCCCTCCAGCTTCTCTGCTGCCCACCACCTGATGCCTGACCTATAACCCTTGCTCTCTCAAGCGTTAAGAGTTTGATACCAAGAAAATGCTGAGAAAGCACATTCAAATTCAAATCAGTATTGCATAATAGTTAAAAAGATAGGCTTTGAAATCAAAGGGGTTTGTGTTCCCTCTCTGCCACTGAATTGCTGTGTCTCCAAGGAACTTTTCTTAAGGCATCTCAGTGGTAAGCATGAGGGTAAAGAGGGCTTAGGGCCTGATGTGGGTGAAGGCACTGGATACCTGGGAAGGAGGGCAGGGAGCCCCGGAGGAGGTACAGAGCCCACTAAGCAGGGTTTCTACAAGTGTGGAAGCCAGCCTTTGATGGACTTGCATTGATATTTCTGCTAGATGGCATGAATTTCAAATTACACAAAATAAAGATACTCATCTTGATAAGGTTAGATAAAACTACTTCTTTATTTTTTGTTTGTTTTCCTGTGCTAAGGATTGAATCGGGGCCTTGCATGTGCTAAGCAAATATTGTGATGCTGGCTCCGGTGCTTTTTTATTATTGGAGACAGACTTCCCTAAGTTTCCCAGGCTGGCCTTAAACTTGCAGTCTTCCTCTTGCCTCAGCCTCTTGCGTAGCTGCGGTTACAGTGTGCACCAGCCCACCTGGTTTAAAACTCCTTGTGAACTGTAGGAACTGACCCTTGTTAGGAGCACTGTGGCCCCAGCAGAAGCCAGAGCTGAGCAGTCTGCCCTGGAGAGGCACAGTGCAGTGTCTTTGGCTCCTGAAGTGTTTCTCTCAGGCGGGGAGGCAGGCAGTGGTGGTCTCATCTTCACATGAAGAAACTGAGGCATGTGTTTGAAGAATTCTGGCTTTCAATTACGTAGTAATGTACAGCTTTCCTTTCTGAAAAATTATGTCAAAAATTTCCTGGAGTAATAACTAGTTTTAGAATCATATGCTAATTATTTTAGAAACATGGAAAATGGAATAATTGGTTTTACCCATAAATACTTTCAGATGATTGTGTGTCATGTTAGTGAAGCTTTTTCACTTAGTTGCTGATAGTCATTTACCTTTCAGGGGTTCTTTGAATATATTTTTTGATATTTTAATTTAGCTAAAAAGGAAGTGGGAGCTCTGATTTTCTTATAAACTTCATTTTCATTTATTTCTTCAAATATTTTATATTTGTTTCCTTAATTTCTAACAGAATTTCTCATTTGACTGAACAAAATGACTGATGAATGCATTAAAACTATTTTCTCTTTCCCTGATTCCCATTTGAGTTTGGTAATCTAAACTTGTTGTAATCTAAACTTGTCCCAGGGCTGGCTAGATAGCTCAGCAGATTAAAGTGCCTGCTTAGGCAGAGCACAGCAGCCAGGATTGATCCCTAGCTGCCCTACCGACCCTACCCCAGGGTACACTTGAGACTGCAACAGACTGGGCATGGTGGCACGTACCTGTAATCCCAGCGCTTGGGAGGCTGAAAACCGGATCACTATGAGTCTGATCTACATAGTGAGACCCTGTACTAAATACATTTTTAAAAAATTCTAAAACTTGTCCCAGTATTGTGATTAAAATCTAACTTTGCCTTACCATAGGGCCACTCTTCCATGATAATTAGATGTGACAGTTTGCTCACTGTAAGAGAAGAGAGTAAGAACATCTGTATACTGTATTCATTGGAAATCTGATATTGGTAACACATTGGACAGTATTTGTAGGTGTACATTTTCAAGCAGATCAGTTCTTTTTCTAGAATTTTAGCCTTTAAACCATAGTGTGAGTTTTTTCTTTTAAAGATTTAAGATGGAGCACATAAAACTTAAACGTTGGGGGGCCGGGGAGATGGCTCAGTGGAATAAGTGCTTCCCTGGCAAGCGCAAGGGCCTGAGTTCAATCACCGGTTCTGAAAAAAAAAAAAAAAAAAAAACTTAAACATTTATAATGTGCAGGGTGTACTTTGGTGGCAACTTTATTGGTGATAGACTGAATAGTTTTGCTCCCTCTACTGGCAAAAACTGAAAAAGTGATGTGGACAGTTTTTAGAATACAAGATTTCTTACATTGGCAATTGAAGAATAAGGGAAGCTGTTTCTTTTTTTAAAAAAAGAGTATTGGATCAACCAGAGCTACATTTTAAATAGGGGGAGTTTTAAGAATAACAAATTTTGTTTGTCAGATGTATTTAAAGTACACATTTTAAAAAACCTCCTAGAATTCTGTTTTTATCCCATTGGGAGCGTTAAAGAAAGCTTGTAGAACAATGGATAAAGAGGGGAAATACTGTGTTATTTTAATTTCCCCTTCAGCATGATTTGAATCATTGACAGATGAAGAGAACAATCTTGCTGAAGCAGACTTTTAGATCCTATTTAAAGTAGCTTACGACTATTTTTCTTTTGGATCCCTTTCAGTTGAGGTTTGATTCCTGTTGTGAATTTTCTTCCTGTACAGTGAGTAAATATAAGTTAGAGCCTTCTTTCTCTCAGTGAGCCAGTTCACTGGCTGCCCTGGGGTGCCAGGAGGGAGCGCGTTCTGCGGGTGGTTCTGTGCGTACAGCGGCCCACTTTGCCCAGATGCGAGGTAAGATAGGCCTGCTCCAGGGCCGCAGGAGGAGATGCTTCAGTGTGGAGAGGCCTGGGTCGGTGGCAAGACTGATCCAGGCTGAGGACAAGGGAAACGGCAGTTTCTTATGCTAAAAAATGAGAAGCAGGAAGGGCAGACTATGGTATTTTCAATTAAAAGTCAATTTGCCTTGTACAGAGGGTTTTAGAAAATTTTAGTGTGTCTAGAAATTGCACACCTTACCCTTGAGGTTTTTTTTTTTTAATTAATTTTCTGATTCTTAGAACCTTGAATGAACAGTTCTTATGTTTTCCCTGATTAATTTTTGTGACTCCATGTTAGTAACTCTCCAGACTCATAGAGTAGCAGTAATGTGGATGATTGGCACTAGCTCAAGCAGTCGTACCCAGTAAGCAGCTGTTTATCTTTTAGACGTAAGAGAAAACCTTCTTATGCTTGATGGTTGGAGGAGGAACTTGTACCTGTGTCTTTGTTGTTGGTCTTCTTATTCTGAAAATAAATTTATATTTAAATATAATCATTATTTGATAAACATGCAAGCTTTTCTTGAAATACTGAAGTTTTGGTAACTTTTTAACCTTAATTTTATTCTGATTGACAGTTTAACTACTAAGCCTCACTTCTGATTACTCAGTCTTAGATTTCTTTCCCCCATTATGTTACTGTTTTCTTAAGATAATCCAAGATCAATGCTGTTTTGTAAATCGTTTTTCCTTTGGCCTTACAAATCTAAAGTGTGCCTTTGAAGACAAGAATGTAAACTCTTTCACATGATGTCTGTATAGATGCCTGTTCCTTCAAAGCCCAAATAAGCACTGCATTCTGTTATTTACAATATCTTCACTTTCATTTTTAAAGTGTTTAGTAGTAAAAAATTGTGTGTATATGTGTGCATGATTGTGTGTGTTTATTTAAAATCTGGAGACCTTCATTGGAATTAAACTTTATATGTAAAATAGAATCATAGAATAGCACATAAAGGGATCTTTGAGTTTGTTCAGGGCTTTTCTCTTTACAAGTAAGAACTCTCCCCACTCCTTGGTATTTAATGGTACTTTACAGCACTGTTTGCTCTTCTAAGGTTCTGGGAGGTAGGAATTTTCATTTTACAATACAGAAAACTGAGATGTTTATCACAAATGATTATCACAAGCCATTCAGCCAATTAATAGTGTGAATAAGATTCTCAGTTCCAGTCTTTCTAGAGACTGACTGCTTTTACAGACACCGTATAGCTAACTTGTTATAGGTTGGTTGGTTGGCAGGTTGAGCACGGGACTCAAGTTACCAGGTGTGCAGCGCCATATAACTTCTTCTGAAAATAATGCTTTTATTTGAAATGTTTTGAGATTAAAAGTTGAACAGAATTATAATTTTTAAAACTAATTTTGGTTTTCTCAAGAAGAGATATGTATGTCTCTACCTGTGGTGGAAGGTTTGCATTGGAACACCTCACACTGCTGGCCTGTGGAAACTGTGCAGTAATACTGTACCTAGGAAGCGCCCTTAGTCAGGATAAACATGACAGCTGTTCAGAAACCAAAGTAGGTGCCTGTCATGTTAGCAAGGCATTGATTCAGAAAGCTGTGGTTTCTGCAATAACCCAAGTGTGTGGGCTATACTTAAGCTGTTTTTTTTATACCTCTTTACATCCCAAATATAGAGACCAAGGATTTTGTCATTTTGGTTCAGTAAAGTTTTTTCTTGTTTATTTTTTATTTTGTTTCAAGCTTACCTGAAGGTTAAACAGTATAATGAGCGCCTAGTGATTCTCACTTGAGTCAGTTACATTCTGGCCTTCTCGGGAATTTTGTGAAAAGCCTTCTGTAGCATATGACCAGAGTCCTCCTGAGCGTTTGAACCACTGCGCAGGGCAAGTCCCCTGTGTTCCAGTGTGAGTCCTCCGTGTGCGTCACCATTCTCTGAGGTGTGCACATCTTGACATGGACTGCTTGCCTTTGCACATTGTGACCAAAATAAAATATCCAAGCAGTTCACCCACTGTCATTAGCTCAGCTTGTCTGTTTCTGACGTTAGTAATTGCATACTCTGATTTTGCTAAGTGAGAGTAATGATCAGCCATTGCTCTATTAGTAAAATTTGACTCTCAGAATTTTTTTTTTTTGTGGAACCGGGGATTGAACTCGAGCCCATGCGCTTGCCAGGGAAGCACTTATTCTACTGAGCCATCTCCCAGGCCCTCTCAGATTTTTTTAAGTGGCCCTTTCTAGCACTTAATGGGGGACTTTGTAATTAAAGATGAAAGAACAAAAATTTTTTGCCTAGATTAACATTTTATTGTTTATTGACTTTTAAAATAAAGTCTCATACTGAGCTACATCCCCAGCCCTTTTTTATTTTTTATGGTGACACAGCATCTTGTAAATTGTCCAGGATGGCCTTGAACTTGCTGATCCTCCTGCCTCAGCCTCCTGGACCTATAGGCTTGAACCAGCTTGCCCTGAAAGAATAATATCTTGAAAAATAATATACTCAGAAAACTTGTTTTTTAAAGACATGTTACTTTCTGATTAATTTTATAAGTCTAAAATAGAATTGTGTAATAATCCTGCATTTAAATGTAAGAGATTATAATTTGGAATGTGTTAAGGTGGAGAGATGCCTAGAATATAAATAAAGTTACTTGGTTTCTTCTATATGATTTTAATGTGCTTGATATTAAACTTACAGAAAACTCTTTGAAGTAGGTTGAGTTTGGACAGTAGCTAATAATAGGCCTTTTGTTGAATATAAAAAGAAATTCATTTTGTTTCCTCACAAAACAATGGTTTTCCTGTTGAACTTGTTTCTACTGTTTTGAGTACTATACTATTATTTTTAAATAATAGCAAAGAATTATAGGACTTACACATCTGTTACACAGGTAATGGCCTTAAGTGACAACATTGCTTTCAGTCTTCATAATTAGAAGAGTTTTTCGGTTGGGTAATAATACCTTGAATCTTTGCTGGCCTTTTTCTTAGTCCTATGGAATGTTTCTTCTTGAGTAGACATACAGCTCTAAACATAGTGGAATTCTACTTCAGATCCTGCTCACCTTACTCAGATATTATTTACGATTTCAGTACTAATTCTTATAGGTAAAGCGATGGAAATCAGTATACCTCCTCCTCCTTCAAATTTTTAATCTTTATTCATCATCAGTTGTGTTAGAATAGGCACAATATATGCGGAGTGAGGGTAGCAGTTAGGAATGTGAAAATTCCTAAGTAATGTAGTTGTGCAGATAGAAGAAGATGTACGAAAGTCAACTTTTGTGGGTGTGGTACCTTTTCATACAGAGTTTTTTTAGGGAGGATAGTTCAGACCTTTCAGCATTTTAGTTCTGTACTAAAACCTGCCTTTGTACTTAAAATTTCCCAAACATGTCTTCAAAGAAAATTTATGCCAGGACAAAGCAGTCTCACATATGAATGACATTTGATACATGAAAATTTGTGGGATTTTAAAAACGTTGCAGTGAGAGCTTGATATTGCATTTTCAGATACACAAGACTTGTAAATTGCCCCTTGAGTGTGTCAGTTGTAGCCTACTGCGTGGAGTATTCACATTTCTCCTGGATGGAGAATTGGCTGAAAAGAAAATTAATAACTCTTTAAAAATGAAGGAGTTCATGCATGCAGTGCTTTTTCTCTACTAGCTACTACCTTGAGTGTTACTGTTAACAAGAAACTAGATCTGAAATTAAGTGGTAAGGTATTCTAATTATTTTGAGATAAAAGTGTCTTTAAATTGCTTACAGTGTTTTGGTGCATTTTATTTGGCTGAACCGGGGATTGAACTCAGGCCCTGTGCTTGCCAGGGAAGTGCTTATTCCACTGAGCCATCCCCCTGGTCCCCAACTTTGGTGCATTTTAATTAGGTTTGTTTGTTTAATAAAAGTTTATAAAGAGATTGTTGTTCTTCAGGTTCAGAGTACAGAGGGAGAAGCGCCTCATATTCCAGCCACGTACCAGCTAGGTCTCACCAAGTCCAAACGAGGTAAGTCAGTGCCTAGCCATTGGTTCCCATGTACGTTTGTCCAGGTGGTGGCAGTAGGGTTGGAAAACACACTCAATGTGTATAGCAGCAGTAACTGTAGAAAGCTTAGGGAAGACAGGCATGCTTCTTCATTGTTTGCTTCTCTGATTTTTGTATTTTTTTAAAGGCTTCTGTGCTCATACATTAATTAGTTTCTTTGTCCTGTGATGCCCTCTTTACACAATCATATGTGCAGTAAATATTTTTCAGTTCTGCATCATGCCTGGGTGGAAAGTGATCCAAAGAGCAACAGAACAGGGCTACTTTTTACATTGTGATGATTGAAAATATACTTGGTGCCTATCAGTGTTTTCATTATTCAAATATAATGCATCATTATGATTCACGGGATATACCCTGGCAGAAAGTACCAGTTTCTCAGCAATAGTTAAACCTAGTTAAATTAAATTCAAACTCTGAGTCAAAGGTGAGTGATTGTAGATACTGTGCTTCTCGTGAATTATTAATTATTGACCAAAGGCTCTTTGAATCCATTCCTTTCCCTTTTGACTTGCAATCAGAAAAAGATGTCTGGTTTAAAGTTGATGAAGCTTTGGAGACTTAGAAAAGGGAGAGGCAGAAGTGAGAATGATCACTGACAGTAGCACTACTGTGTATTTTTAAAAGCTTACGCATGCTGAACCATCCTGCTTGTTTTTTTTTAGGCAAAGATTTATATGTACGTTCCCAGAATGGGAAATTACACGTTTGTTCCCTCCTAATCTCTGAAATTACTTCGTAAGGGACATTTGGGTATGATTGTTTGGTTTTGCATTGCAGTAGGCACTAACACCAAGGGCATCACTGTCACTGGGTCACTCTAGCTCTCGACAGACACACAAAAAAGTCTTCACTACTTTTTTCCATTTTAAGTCCATAAATAAATGCATATGTTTCTGAGCCGTAAGACAGATTCATGAAAATGAGGGTATTTTTGCTATAGATGTTAGACAAGGAACACATTGGGAAAAACAGCTTGCCATGTGTCAAAGCAGGACTGGAAACAGGTCAGTTTAACTCGTATCACAGTGGTGGGAGAAGATGAGATGTGATTTGTGTTTGTATCTGGAGTTTTTTCTTATCACTTCTAGGACTCTAATTTCTGGTGGCATAAGCAAAAAAAAAATTTTTGTTTTCAGAACTGGGGATTGAAACAATATTGGGTTTTTTTTGTGCACCAAACTATTAACAATAGAAATTATTAAAATATATGTACAAGACAGGGACAGAAAATAGCAACAGTAATTTAGTTTTTTAAGAAGGTAACCTATCAGTTCTCATAGTGTGATATGATGCTTGGATTACTCATAATTACAGAATTAAAATCAGTGATCATTCTTCATTTTGTAAAGTTAGTTAAAGTGTCTAAGGTTCATTAGGAAGCAGACTTGAAGTTAAAGTTACGTGAATCAGTAATCTGGTCTGGGATGTATTACTTGGAGAGGATTGGTCAGTCAGCTCGACATCACAGGTTAGTATTGTTGGGCACAGTGAGAATAGCCCCCAGTTTTTCTTTGTTGCAGAAGACACAGTTTTCTTTTGCAGAGAACATACACATTTCTGTTTTGTGTCTATATGATACTGAACAAATAGCTTCCAAATTTGATAATTTTTGCTCTCCTCTGGTAACCCTAGTTTTAAATTAGAAATAAAATCATATCATCAGCACAGAGGTTTAATCCTTTTTAATTCCATTCTTTTAATGGGGGAATTTGTTTATTGTAACACAGAAATGCCTGAGTACAGATGAGCTTGGTCTTCATTGTTTGCAAAGCAGTTTTGCCAGTGTCCTCCTTTCCTCCTGGCAGCGCCATGTTGAGGTGGAAGAATTACTTTTATTTCATTTTAAAGAGGAGAGAAGTTACTGCTTCATGGTGGAAAGCACAGTAAAAACTTGTGCCTGGGCCCCTGTGCTTTCTGATGCTCCCACCAGCTCTGAAGCCTAACTGATAGGTTTTTCAGCAGTGCAGTAAAGACATTGGAAAGATAAAACGAGCCTTTATTAATTCCAGAGATCCAGAGAGATCAAGGGCAGATGGGGCAGATAGATCCTCTGGCCTGAGACAGAGAGCTGAGGCTTTTAGGGATGTTTGGTAGGGTGGAGTTTGAGGGGGATGCTTAGAAATCTCTGAGGAGCTGACTGGGGTCTTCCCTGAGGTGGTGGAAAAGGTGAAAGGAAATTGTACCCTGGCATGGGTTGGAGAAGAAGCATGGAGGTGGTTTCTGGGAAGATAAGCTTTGTTTTAAGGGCTTCAGCCATATTAGATGACCACCATAATAATGTAGTAATTCATACTAGGGCCAGAACCTATCACTAACCAGCCTAGATTAGGGCCTAAGCTGTGTGTGTGCAGACAGGACCCCGCAGCTGAGTGGAGCCGGCCCAGACTGCCAGCACAGACCCCCTGGCTTCCCTGGCCCCACACCAAGGGTGTTTGCCCTTTCACTTCCAAGTCATTTCAGTGCCCGCTTCAATTTGCTGCTGTTCTTAGGAAACAGGTACCCTTGATTTGCCAAGCAGCCAGCTTGTTCCAGCTTACTGGACTTGGAGGAATAAGTAAGGTTTCTGCCTTTAAAGCCTGACAATTTAGTTTAAAAAAGAGAAAAATATAACTTCTGTGAATTAAGGTTTTAATCCTTTTTTGTTAGTGCCTAGTTAAGCTGATATAACAGCTTATTGCAATTCAGTTTTCCTATTTTTTATCTAAATTTACCAGGAATATGGAATAATTTTTAAATTTCATTATATAGTTTTATTAATATTATAAAAATATGATCCCAGGGAACAACCCACTCGGGCCCCCCTCCTGTCCCTGTCTTGGACAGGAGCTTTTCTCCCTCAATAAATATATTCTGCTCATAACCAAAAATAAAATAAAATAAAAAATGCAGAATTACTCTGAATTTTAATGGGGAAAAAAAAATCTCTAGAGTCCATGAAACTTGAAACTGCTGTGAAATAGGTTTGTTTTTTTTTTTTGGTGGAACCAGGGATTGAACTCCGGCCCTTGCGCTTGCCAGGGAAGCTCTTATTCCACTGAGCCATCTCCCTGGCCCCTGAAATATTTTAAAACATCCGGTGCCCTTTTACTGATTTTGGATACTATTCAGTCATATCATCTGGTTGTTACCGTGTATGGTTCAGATCTTTGGTGACCATGGATCTGGTAAGCACACTGGCAGTCAGCCTGTTGCTCTCCGAGTTCTGCGACCCTGCTGGTTGTCAAAGGGGCTGGCTCCTGGGAGGTGGGGTAGCTGTAGCCTCCCGCGGCCCCTGCAGTTGCGGGGAATGTGCTGCTGCCTGTGTGTAGTTCATCACTTCACTGACACACATTTTTTTATGTTAACTAGTAGTTGAGTTTTGCAGCAGAAAAATAAAGGGAAGTATTTTATAAGATTAACAGTGTTATATGTGAGTTTAATCTGTTTAAAATTATTGGGAAAGAATTGTCTCATAACTTAATGTTTGCATCACTTGAAACATCAGAGAATGTTTCAGTAAACCCCACTTAATTATTTCTTGTTTTAAGACAGAGTCTCACTAGGTCCAGAAAGGGTTCCACTTGCAGTCCTTCTGCCTCAGCTTCACAGAGGGCTGGGATCTCAAACAGCATGAAGAGACATGTTTTTTACATTCTACACTTCAAGTTGTAATTGTCTACATTTTTATGTAGGGCAAATGGTTTACTGTAGGACATCCATGTTAGTAGAAGCATTTTCTGTTTTAAATTTTGGGCAGCTGTTCTTTTAATAATAAAGATGTTAATTGTATTTATTAAAATGCAGTATAGTTAGAGCTTAATTAGTGACTGCTGAGTTTCTGGTAGAAAATCTGTTTTCCTTTGAACTTGCGTTAACTCCTGTGCTTTGCAGCCACAATTTTGCATAAACAGTGCATACTTTTCTGAGAAGGAATCTTCTGTTTCTTGTATCTGCTGGAATTGTGTCTGTAACCACCGTGCTTTCTGCTGTAGATCATCTGCTACGTACTGCCAGTCAGCATTCTGATAGCAGTGGTTTTGCTGAAGATTCTGCAGACTGCCTCTCCCTTAATCATCTTCAGGTAAAATTTTCTTTTGTAGTAGGAAGTATGTTTAATTTACTCATTTAAAAGTGATTTTTTTTTCCCCCAATGGCTATTGCAAGACTGAATTTTTTATTTTTCAAATGATAATAAGAATAAAACTTCTGGGATGTAGATATCATATGTTTGTGAATTACCGGTTTCACTAATTCCTTCTTTCTCACTGAATTTTTCTTGTTTTTTTTTTTTTTTTTGTTTTTCAACTCTTGGATCACCAGTAAAGGGATTATTTCGATCATTGCCTTGCTAGGTCTGTTAGTTGTCTTGCTTTTAATCATTGTGTTTCAACATTTTGCAGTAACTACTTTGCTTATTTAATAACTCAAAATAGCTGTGGATCCTAATAACTAGTAACTCCTAGTAGGTGTCAGAGTTACACTTAAGTTTGTGCTTTATTCTGCTAGGACCTTCAGAAGGCAGGAGCAAATCTGTTCTTGATGAGCTTGTGGTTTGTATGTGGAGTAAAATAGTGCACAGGAAAAGCCTTTAAACATCATGAAGCAAATTTTAAGTGATCCGAATGACGAAAAGAAAACATAGAGACACAGTACATTAAGAATAAAGAGAAGAGATACATCTAAGGCAACTCAGAAAGAAAGTGGGCAGAAAAATGAGAGAGACTTTAAGAAAGAAAGTTCAGGGAGAAGGTAAGGTTGTAGCTGATGCAGGAGATAGATGAGGAAAAAGCAATTCTGGTGGAGTAAACATGACTGGAGCACGAGTCCGTGATGAGGAAGAAAAGTGAAGGATCACTGGAGAGACTTAGAAAGATGTGCGGTTGGGGGGGAATTTGTTCCAGAACAATCTGGGATTAAGCTGTGGAGGAACACCCTGGAACTGCAGAGAATATGATCAGAAGTGTAGGCCAGGGGAGTCACTTTGGTAAAAGGGATAGTTTCTTTTCAGAATGGCCAGAAAGTGGGAATGTTGGGAAGAGAATGTAGGAAACTTGTTGGTTTTGGAGAAGAATGTTAAGAGAGTTTTGTCTATTTTCTGTTTGAGTCAGTATTATATGTAGGAAGAAGAGGAGGAGGGCATTGGAAAGGAAATTTAGGGGAAATGGTTAGGTTCTAAAATCACGTTTGTGAGAAAATGAGGAGGTGTTAGCTGAGTCGGTGCAGCGAAAGCAGTGGTGAGCAGCCCAGGCCACAGCTGGGGTGGCACCCCCACAGGCCCAGCTGCACTGCGTCCACTGGTGTTCGGCTAATGATGTTCACTCCCTGTGTATTCATCTTCCCATCTGGTTCCTTTCCACAGGTCCATGAGCCCTTGCAAGCCATGGGGAGTAGCGCTGATAGCTGTGACAGTGAGATGACAGTCACATCATTTGGTGAAGACCTTGTTACACCAACAGTACAAGACCAGCCTTATTTTAATGAGTCAGAGGAGGAGTTGCCAAGCCCTCTTCAGGAAGGAAGAGCGAAGGCAGCATCAGTTGCTGACAAAGGAATGTCAGATAGCCAGGATTTCCCTCAGTGCGGGCCTGAGGAGAGTGCGGGACCTGAACCGTCCTCTTGTAGTCCAGGGGATCGTGAAACTGACGTCACTGAGGAGGGAGAGGGATCATCTTCAGCACAAACACTGGAGCTGCTGAGGGAAGCAAGTGGTGAAAGTGATGTGGACAAAAGCAGCGAGTGTGAATTTCCCCAGTACACCACACACCATATCCTGAAATCACTGGCTTCCATTGAGGCTAAGTGCCGTGATCTCAGTGCTGAAAATACACCTGGGCCTCCTTCTTCTGTGGATAGAGTTAATACAGCTTTACAGAGAGCACAAATGAAGGTTTGCAGCTTGTCTAATCAAAGGGTGGGGCGCAGCCTGATCAAGTCAAAGGATCTGTTAAAACAGAGGTACTTACTTGCAAAAGCTGGCTATCCTCTAAGAAGGTCTCAGTCTTTACCAACGACCTTATTGAGCCCAGTCAGGGTTGTGTCCTCCGTCAATGTCCGGTTATCTCCTGGAAAAGAGACCAGGTGCAGCCCCCCTTCCTTCACCTACAAGTACACGCCCGAAGAGCAGCAGGAATCGGGAAAAGGGGCCACTGCACCCGACAGTCAGTCTTTAGTCAAATCCACCATTTTCATCTCTCCACCATCTGTAAAGGAGGAGGATGAGGCCTCCCGGGGTGAGGTGAGGCAGTTGGAGGAATGCCACCCCAGGAGGACTCCTGTCTGTCCCCAGGTTGTCCCAGCACGCATATCTCAGTCCACCTGCTCCCTTCACACTCTGCATGAGTGGGCGGACAGGCCACTGTGTGAGCACATGAGAACGCTGAGTGCACACAGTGTCCCCAACATCCCAGGGGCCACCTGCTCTGCCTTCGCTTCTCCTCTCGGATGTCCTTACTCACACAGACATGCTGCCTACCCCTACCGAGGGTATGCTGTGAATCCTCCGTCTGCCATAGAAATGCAGTTGCGAAGAGTGTTGCATCATATTAGAAACTCCCTGCAGAATCTTTCTCAGGTAGGAAGAAGAATTGCTCTTTTTAAGCTTTTTAAAATGTTACTGCTCTAGGCACCATTTCACTCAGTGAAAAGCAAAGACTCATCCAGCATAGACTATGCTAACTACTTTTTCCATGCGTAAGCTCGCCACTACTTGTTCTCCTGTACACTTCCCTTCTGTTTCATGGGAAAAGCTGTAATTATCCCTAAACAAGGTTAACCTCTCTGCTCAGAGTCTCCTTCCCTTCCTGGAAAGATTTTGCTCATTAGATCGCCTCCCTTTTTCAATCTGTCATCCATTGTTTGTGCCTTATTCTAAAAACATGAAGTCACCCTGTTTAAGAAAAACAAAAACCTCTCTCAAAGGTCTTTTTCTCTGTTTCCTGCTACTTGGCTGTATTGACCACCTCTTCCTTCTCTAAGCTCTTGTCCTGCTGCTTCAGTGGCACCGTGTTCTCCTGGTCGTGCTTATAGCTCTCTGACTAAGCTTCCCCTTCACTCACTGACCTCGGATACTGGTCTCCGGCCCAGACTTAGTCTCCTTCTACTGGGTTCAAAGGCTCAAACCACTCCGAAGAGAGAAACTCAGGTACAGTGTGAACTCAGCGTGCATGTAATCGTTTACTGTGGAAGAGTGGACGGCAAGCTGCCTTGAAAGTAAAAACTAGAGTTGTAGTGTTTCAAGTCCTATAAGATATGCCATCTTTTAAATATAGAATGTGTCCTTGGGATAGATGTTTCCCCTTGCGGTTTGAACCGAATATGGGTGTTTCTTCTTCCTCCCTATGAAATATAGTTCTAACCATGCCTGAACTGTTCCTGCAGTTGTGTGTAGCTGGGGGTTTCCAGAGCCCTGTCCCCTACACCCTTGGGCACCTTTCTGGGCCAGCTGTGTTGCCCACTTGGTAGTTGCTTCCTCTTGGGTGTCTCATTGCTAATGAACCTCCCACCCTACCTCTTCTGCAGACTGATGCTTTCCACAGTCTCCGCACTTAGCTGTGAGCTCTGGCCACTCTGAACTGTGTGCAGGGCTCTGGGAGCTGTGTGCTCATGGTGACCCAAGCATGCAGCTTGCGTGTGTTTTCCCAGGTCTCCTGCTCTCACCTTTCTTTACATGACAAAATTCTAGTTCCTGTTCAGATGCAACTCACGTGTTACCACTGTTGGAAAAACTTAACTAGTCTGTACTTCTGTTTTCATCCTAGCACATATGCCCCTCAAATTCTATAATAATTTTTTAAGGCATTTCTTTCTTGCTATGCTGTGAGACCACCTCGAGGCAGGGGGCCTTTTGCCTTCTCTGAGATAGTGGCGTGGAGCAGGTGCTTGAATGTCTAAGGGTGTGATGCTGCTTGCTGCTCTCTGGAGCTACCTCACTCATTTCTGTGACCTCTGGATGACATTTGCAGCTTGGCCTGCACTTCTGAGTTTCACTTTTGCTTCTGTACTTTCTCAAAGCAAGAAGAAAGTCCTGTAAAACATAGATATGGTGAACTATACATAGACTGACCCATGCCTAGAACAGCTAAGAGGGCTAGGAACTAATATCTCTTGTTCATGCATACCATATCAAGAGTTTTGTTTAATTTTGCCTCAAAAAGAAAAACATATAGGCCTCAAATTGTGCTTTTAGCACTTTAGAAAATTTGGAAGTAGCCATGGAACACTGATGTTAATCCTTCTTGCTTTCATTTATTGAAGTACCCCATGGGAGGCCCTGACCTTGCTGCTGCTCCATACAGTACTCAGAAATCATCTGTTCTACCTCTTTACGAAGTAAGTTCCTACTTTGTCTTTGCATTGCAAAATAATTTGTATGATGCAGAAGTGTAATTTTGTTTTATTGCATTTTAGAATACTTTTCAGGAGCTTCAGGTAATGAGGCGGAGCCTGAATTTGTTTAGAACCCAAATGATGGACTTGGAATTGGCAATGCTGCGCCAGCAGAACTTGGTGTATCACCATATGACTGAGGAGGAAAGGTAGAAGCTCATTTTGTCTCAACATAATGCACACAAGTTGTCATTCAAAGAAACATTTTCAGGAGGTTTTACAAAACTAGTTCTTGTTACTTGTGTTAGTATCCTGTATGTTTTGTGAGCTGGATGAATAAAGAGGCATACGGAATATTCTGCTAACATCTGGGTCTTCAGGGAATGACTGAAGATGCTTGTAGCCTGGTAGTCAGTGCTGGTCAGTTGGCGAGAGAGAAGAGAGGGACAAGGTGAGACCCGTGTTCCGGGGCCACACCTCCTGTGGTGCACGTGTACAGATTTATGAAACTTGGTATACAGTGTCTTCTGTTAGCGTGCAGTAATTATCAGAGTGCTTGTGGGGAAAAAGTTGTGAACTGCGTTTCTCAATCTCGCCCCTTTCCCGTGCGGGCAGGTACGAAGTCGATCAGCTGCAGAGCTTGAGGAACTCGGTCCGGCTGGAGCTGCAGGAGCTCGAGCTGCAGCTTGAGGAGCGCCTGCTGGACCTGGAGGAGCAGCTCCGGGCCGCGCAGGCGCCCTCGCCCTTCCGCTCCTCCTCACTCATGGTAGGCGGCGCTGGGCCTGGGCGCTGGGGGGCAGCTCGGGCGCCCACGTGAGTCAGGACACACCCCTGCACTTACAGCCATTTATTTTAATGACAAAAGTGTGCAGAATGTTTAAGGAGCTTTACCACACATCAGTTTTTGGTACAAGTTGCAATAACTTTCTTAAATATTTAATGTGTACTTATACATTGCAAAAATTTAATGGTCATTTTTGATAATAAGAAAAAATAAAGGGTCCATCAATAGGTTTAAAGTTTTTGAAAGAAAAATTGTAGTGCATAAAGCTTACTAATTTAAATTTGAATTACTGTGTGTATGTATTTCTAAAGAATACAAATATATTCAGGTTTTTTTTTTTTTTTTTTTTTTTACCATTTTTTATTTTAGTAAGCAGTGTTCCATTTAAACTTCTCCTTTATTTTGTTTTCTTTTTTCCTAAGCTCTCCCATCCTCCACACAGGGGCCCAGAATCTGCCTCTG